TTCAATTCAATTCAATTCAATTAATGTTGAAGTATAGAATAATAAGTGCTGTTTGATTTATAAATTAGAAATAACAAATTAATGCCAGCAGTTTGTACATAAGAAAAATGGGATATGTACAGTGTATTTTTAGCATATATACGAGAAGCTTCTTCTCCTAGAACTCTCTCTCACTTATCTAGAGTATTATCTCTGAGCTATGAGCAGGCAGAAACCACATTCAAACAACATCTATATAATATAGACCAAGAACCTAGATGCAGGAAATACTACTTAGCTTCCCATAATGGACAGTCAGGAATACATTTTGGCTTCAGCTATGTATCTCACACATCTTAATACTTCCAACCAGAAAAGGGCCTTTACCTTAGTCTAATGTAAGGTATTACCTTCAGCATTCCAAGCTGGAAGATACAAAAGGATACTATACCCTTTATAAGTATGTTCTTGTGAGTCAGGACATGTAGAAACAACTGAATATTTCTTTTGTATTGCAAGTTTTACACAGCATCCCAAAATGCTCTAATTGCCCTACTCCTGGTTAGTAAAACAGGTTATAATGGCCAGCAATACAAGCAATTCTTATTATATTAATCCTGAAATAATATATAAGATTGCCAGGTTCTGTGCAGTGGCAGACAAAATTATACAAAGAATAATTAAGAGTAATTGAACTTGTTTGAGCAAGGAGTAGTTCTGCTGCAGCATTACTCACTTGTCATTTTTCTTATGTTAGATGCTATATTGTACCCTCTTCAGATTTGTTGGGGACTCTATAAATCTATGTTTTAGATTAGTTTTAACTAATAAGAATGATGCTTTTTAGTATATGTGTGTGTCCGCGTGCACGCATATGTGTATGTTAAATGACTGCAATAAAGTTGGTTGAATTTTAATTTTTAGTATAAGTGATTTTATCCCTCCATTGTGCAGTTAACTGCACTGAGATGACAGTACTTGGATTTATATTTCAGTAACATTTGCTCTAGCCAAAGTATTTTCCCCTTGGTATAAATAAAGTTTTTAAATATATGTGACTTAGATTAGAAAGGGAGATTGAAGTTATGTACTATATGGCATGCATATTACAATTCTGCTCATCTTAACAGTATGTGAATAATCAATTTTGGTGATAAGCTACTAGACTATCTGTACTTAATCTTTCTTCTAACTACGTGAAGAAAAAAGATAAAGTAACTTAAAAAATAAGGTTATCGTTTCATATATACTTGAATTTTTCAAGGATTTGGATTATGTCTGAAGTCAGGTAGTTAAAAAAAAGTCAGTGCTGCACATATTATTTCATTTTTATTTTACTATCATACTTCACAGTGAAATTTAGTCTCTTGGTTGTGTTTTGCAACAGGTGGTCAGAATGTTCCTTTTTATTTGCCTTTGAATGCAAAGCAACTTAAAACTTTTAAATGCTTATAGCTCTCAGTTCACATTTTAGTTTGAAGGGAAGATTGTGAAGATGGGTGTTGACATGTAGATGTGTTAAAACCTCTGTCTTGCCCAGGCTTGTCCAGCTGCAGCTGTTGTTGCTAGATTATAACTCCTTAATAATCTCTCTTTATATGGGGCACATGCCAGTTTGGATATAACAACTTCAATTTGTTAAATTATATTTGACAAAAAAATAAATAAACTTGCATACTAACCTGGTGCTGAAATTTGAGAGGGGAATGCCTTAGAGTGAATTTTGACTCCTGGCAAATGCCTGAAGTTTTCTTGACACGATTTTCAGAAGCGACTAGCCTGTCTAGGGATGAGAAAGAATGACTAGCCCAATAATACAATACAATACAATACAATACAATACAATACAATACAATACAATACAATACAATACAATACAATACAATAGCAGAGTTGGAAGGGACTTTGNTCAGTAAGAGGGGGAGAGAGAGGGAGCTAAGATCAACATTCCTTATTTTTGAATGATGTGAAAACTTCTACTTGACTTGGAAAAGATGTTTTCTGCTATATTATGTAAAAGGGAAGAAATATTAAGGATTTTTTTTTGTCTAAAACACAAATGAAATATTTGATTTTTTTCCTCTTAAGAACTCCAGAACAATATTTGGTTTTTTAAATTCATGTTAATGTTTGAATAATATAAACAGTAGCACAAGAAGAAATGCTGCTTACATAATTAAATGGAAACCCCATCTCTTTTGATAGAGTTAGTTTCTTGGGACAAGCACTTGGTATGCTTTTTAACACAGTGAAGGAATCAGATCTTACTATATATACTGTAAAATGTGGGTCAGTCTTCTCAAGAGGGTACCCACCCTATTAACCTTTCAGAGAACTGTGACGATCTGGCTCTTTATCCAAGCTTTGGGCTAGGATAGACGTGAATCCAGCAAATGTAAGAATATGGGAGTCATGTGATATTGTGGCACTGTACTTGAGATATGTGATGGTGTTGCAAGTTTGGTTTGTTTTATTTATTCTGTTATTTAATAATGTGAGAATTAAATTGTATTTAATTTAATTTATATTTCTTATTTTTAATTACATTTAATTCTGGGCTTTTTATCTTGCCATACAAACTTGGAAATATCTTTTATCCACTATTTAAATGGTACATTAGTTCTCTGAAATACTGAAATAACATCCTAGATAAAACATTCATCTTAATTATAGAAGTTTTACACAAAGACAATAGTAATTTGTCACCTCAATAAATCTTTTTGATGTCATTGCATAATTCACTATATTTATTCTGAAGCAGCATGTGATTCATATTAGTCACTATAATCCCTAAAAAATTAACTTTCTTCTCAGTTTTAAAAAGTTTTTTATTAAAGTCTCTTGATCTTATATATTTACATTTTTAACCAAATCTTTGTTTTTTGTTGATTTACTTTAAAACCAGCTAATGTTCGAAAGTCCTTCATTTTCTTCATTAAGTGTTCAATGCACATTCCGAGAGTCTTGTAAAATCAAAAATAAATAATCAACAAAAGCCTTATAGTTTTTGAAACCAGTATGAATTTGTTAGTCCATCAGGACATGGTGCATTCCCTAATTTAATCTTTTTATAGATGCTGATATTCAGAAGCTATTATGGGGCTATTCATTATTTGTTTCTGAAGTTGTGAAATTTTTATTCAACTTTGTATAAAAGACAGGAAGTCTCCCTGGAAAAGATTGATGAATATTTGAGAAAACAAAATTTACCAAAATTTGTACCCATAGCGCTCTTCCTGGCTTTGTCATTTCCATACATATTTTGACAT